TGTCTTAGGGTATCAGCCGGTTCTGGCACCGTGGCATGAGAGCCAGATCGAGGCCCCCGCTGTGGATGAGTGGGTAAGGCGCTCGGAGGAGACGTGGAACGCTGCTCACGTCCATCTGCAGCGTGCCATACGTCGACAAAAGACGAGCGCCGACCTACGCCGCAGTGAGGGGCCAGTGTACGCACCTGGAGATCGAGTCTGGCTCTCAACCAGGAACCTGCCCCTCCGCCTGCCCTGCCGGAAGCTGGGTCGGCGGTTTGTGGGGCCTTTTAAAGTCCTGAGGAGATTGAATGAGGTGTGTTACAGGTTAGAACTACCTATTGATTACAAGAATATTAACCCCTCATTCCATGTGTCTCTCCTCAGGCCGGTGGTAGCTGGTCCACTCCAGGGCTTCGAGATTGAGGAGACTCCTCTGCCCCCGTTGGAGATCGAGGGGGCTCCGGCGTACACTGTTCGGACCATCCTGGATTCCAGACGCCGGATGGGGGGTCTCCAATATCTCGTGGAGTGGGAGGGGTACGGTCCGGAGGAACGGTGCTGGGTGCCGAGGAGGGATATTCTGGACCCGTCCCTGATGACCGAATTCCATCGTGGTCATCCTACGCGCCCGGCGCCGCGCCCTCCGGGGCGTCCCCGAGGCCGGAGTCGGCGCACGGCTGGGGCCGCGCGTCAAGGGGGGGGTACTGTCACGGTTTCGGCCGAGGCAGCTCCTCCTCCTTGTTCGGGCAGGTTTCGCCGTTCGTCGTCTCCGGAGTACTAGCTGCCACCGCTCCATGTTTTCTGTTTGACTAGTTTTGTCTGATTAGTCACACCTGTCTTGTGTTATGTCTAATTAAGCACCCTATTTAGTTTCCCTGTTTTGTGTGTTGTGTTGTGTGTAATTGTTTCGTGTTGGTGTCGTTTCGTACCTGTGTTTGGTACGCCACCTCTGTTTTGCCTACTTCTCGATTTAGAGGAGTTTTGCGCGCCTGTTTTGGGCGCTTGTGTTTCACGCCTGTGTGCGTTTTGCCTCTGGCTGTTTTGGATTATTGCATTGCATTTTCCAGTAAAGTATTTTGGACTCTCCTTCTGCTTCTGCACTTGATTCCACACCACACCTTTTCTACACGGCTCTGACAGCAAAATAGTTGGGAAGAGATCTTTGACGTACCGATCCCATGGCATAGTGTTTATGAACTGACACGCAAAACGACACCGGATTCAAAAATTTGAATCTTTCAATTTAAATTATTATATAAAATTCTTGCTACCAATAGAATGTTATTTATATGGGGGATACAATCTTCCCAGCTCTGCAGATTTTGCTGTGAAGAGATAGAATCATTAGATCATTTGTTTTGGTTCTGTCCATTTGTAGCTTGTTTTTGGACACAGGTCCAGGAATGGCTAAAGGATTGCAATATTTACCTGGAACAAACCTTGCAGATAGCATTACTGGGTGATCTGAAAAGTCATAGTCAATCAATCAATAATATAATAATACTTTTAGCAAAAATGTTTATTTTTAATTCACAATCTGTAGAAGCAATGAGAATAGAAAGGTTCAGAACTTTTGTAAAACATCACAGTACGGTTGAAATATATATGGCAAATAGAAATCCTATATGGATGGTGTTAAGAGATAGATGGGAGGTATTGAATAGAGTTGAAGGATGGCACTAATAACAAATAACAACAAATAATAACAAAGATAGCTAATAATGTAAGCATACTGTGTCCATAATAAGTATATAGGTTGTATGTTGGGAGCTTTTGGGAAAGAGCACAGTTAGAAAGATATGGCATTTAGAAGCAAACCGGATGGACATCATGAAAATGATTGGAGAGGTTGAGAGTAGAAGAGGTTCAGGAGCAAAAAAATAAATAAATATATATATATATATATATATATATATATATATATAGAATTATTGTAAAATTAACTCTGTCCATAAGGTGTAGATAGTAAGTATAGACCGGAAGTAGAGGCCTGGGCGTTGTTGTTCACTAATTTACTCCAAGTAGGGAAAGGATGGTGGGGTTGAAAAGTAATAAAGGGGAATATATATATAAAAAATAAAAATAAACATGGGGGATTGGAAGTGATGCAGACAATTACATTGATAGAAGATACAATCTATCTGCAATATTAAGCTGATCCATCCCCCCCCCAAAAAAAAAAGAAAAAAAAAAAAAACCTGCCAAGAGAGGGCCGCCCCCCAAATAAGCAAACACGTTTGGTGTTCGCCAAAAGGCATGTGGGAGAAGGTACCCTGGTCAGATGAGAATAAAATTGAGCTTTTTGTCAATCAAGGAAAATGTTATGTCTGGCGCAAACCCAACACCTCTCATCACCCCGAGAAAACCATCCCCACAGTGAAGCATGGTGGTGGCAGCATCATGCTGTGGGGATGTTTTTCATCGGCAGTCACTGGGAAACTGATCAGAATTGAAGGAATGATGGACGGTGCTAAATACAGGGAAATTCTTGAGGGAAACCTGTTTCAGTCTTCCAGAGATTTGAGACTGGGACGGAGGTTCACCTTCCAGCAGGACAATGACCCTAAGCATACTGCTAAAGCAACACTCGAGTGGTTTAAGGGGAAACATTAAAATGTCTTGGAATGGCCTTGTCAAAGCCCAGACCTCAATCCAATTGAGAATCTGTGGTATGACTTAAAGATTGCTGTACACTAGTGGAACCCGTCCAACTTGAAGGAGCTGGAGCAGTTTTGCCTTGAAGAATGGGCAAAATCCCAGTGGCTAGGTGTGCCAAGCTTATAGAGACATACCCCAAGAGACTTGCAGCTGTAATTGCTGTAAAAGGTGGCTCTACAAAGTATTGACTTTGGGGGGGTGAATAGTTATGCACGCTCAAGTTTTCTGTTTTTTTGTCTTATTTCTTGTTTGTTTCACAATAAAAAATATTTTGCATCTTCAAAGTGGTAGGCATGTTGTGTAAATCAGAGCCATGTGGTTGTGGGTTCGATTCCCACGGGGGGCCAGTATAAAAAAATAAAAAATATAAAATGTATTCACTAACTGTAAGTCGCTCTGGATAAGAGCGTCTGCTAAATGACTAAAATGTAAAATGTAAATGTAAATCAAATGATAAAATACCCCCCATTTTAATTCCAGGTTGTAAGGCAACAAAATAGGAAAAATGCCAAGGGGGGTGAATACTTTCGCAAGCCACTGTATAAGGAAATCAGTCAATTGAAATAAATGAATTAGGCCCTCATCTATGGATTTCACATGACTATGGGTGGAAATAGGCTCACCCACTTGGGAGCCAGGCCCAGCCACTGATTTAAAAAATAAGCACTGAACTTATACTATTGTACTATCAATCAATCAATCAATCAAATGTATTTATAAAGCCCTTTTTACATCAGCAGATGTCACACAGTGCTATACAGAAACCCAGCCTAAAACCCCAAACAGCAAGCAATGCAGATGTAGAAGCACGGTGGCTATGAAAAACTGCCTAGAAAGGCAGAAACCTAGGAAGAAACCTACAGAGGAACCAGGCTCTGAGAGGTGGCCAGTCCCCATCTGGCTGTGCTGGGTGGAGATTATAACAGTGCATGGCCATTAAGGCCTGATTTTTCTCCAAGATGTTCAAACATTCATAGATGACCAGCAGGGTCAAATAATAATCACATTGGTTGTAGAGGTTACAACAGGTCAGTACATCAGGAGTAAATGTCACTTGGCTTTCAGCAGGTCTGGGACAAGGTAGCACGTCCGGTGAACAGGTCAGGGTTCCATAGTCGCAGGCAGAAGAGTTGAAACTGGAGCAGCAGCACGACCAGGTGAACTGGGGACAGCAAGGAGTCGTCATGCCAGGTAGTCCTGAGGCATGGTCCTAGGACTCAGGTCCTCCGGGAGGGGAGGGAGAGAGGGAGAGAGAGAGAAATTAGAGGGAGCATACTTAAATTCACACAGGACACCGAATAAAACAGGAGAATAACACCAGATATAACAGACTGACTCGGCACAACTTCGAATAGGCACAACTTCGACATAAAATAGTTTTTTACAAAGTTGCCGGAATACCACATCCGTCCACTTATATTTTAGTCATTTAGCAGACGCTCTTATCCAGAGCGACTTACAGTTAGTGATTGCATACATTTTTTTTTCTTCATACTGGCCCCCAATGGGAGACAAACCCACAACCCTGGCGTTGCAAGCGCCACGCTCTACCAACTGAGCTACACAGGGCATTTGTAACAACCTAAACATTATGAAACTTCTATTCAATCAAATAAGCCTCACGTAGAACATTAGCAGTACAATTTTATGTTGACCAAATTCGACACTCTCTTATTGACCTCGGTACAAAAAATCTCCACTTTGTCTGCTTCTAGCTGTATTTTCCTGCTACACATTTTAGGGCGGAGTCAAGCCTCTCGCGTTGCCTCTTCCTTTCCGCTATTGGTCAAATTTGATTAAACTCGGCAGGATTGTAGAACCAACCCACCACGAGTAACTGGCTGTAGTAACTATTACGCCTACTTCTACCACAGTCAATACTACCTCTACTACTGCTACTGCTACCACTACTGGGCTACAGACACTAATATCAAATCAAGCTTTATTTATACAGCACATTTCAGACATGGAATGCAACAAAATGTGCTTCACAGGAAAAAAACTAATACCAACAATGAAAATGAAAACTGAAATATTTACTACACAACAAACATAAGAGGATAAAAACTAAAGAATAACTATAAAAACTGAACGACTATAAATCACCCTAAGGAAAAGCAAAGCTACAAAGATATATTTTTAAAATGTCCACAGTTTCGGCCTCTCCTCGAGGCTTCTCCTTGAATGCAGCACTTATATCCAAGGACAGAGAGCTGTTTGTCATCTGTGTTGGCTCTAAGATCATTTACCACTTTAACTAAGGTTGTCTCTGTGCTGTGGTGTGCCCGAAAACAATATTCTATTTTAAATACAGTTGGCTACTATCCCACTACTTTTTATAATACAGTCACTACTACACTATGATCGGAGGGTTTGTGGAGGATGTGTACACACTAACAAAGGTATGTCGGAACCGGTTTGAGGTGGATGCGGGGAATTCCATCGAGGATGCTTGGCAGGAGGAGAGCCACCTCAACTGGTATCTGCTCTACAACAAGCCCAGCAAGGTGTTGTCTCCAGAGTACCTGTGGCAGGATTTCAGGGACAAAACCAAAGAGGTCAAAGTCATTCGCTTCTCAGGCGTCATTAAAAGCATTGCTGACGTTCGTCCCAGGTAGCCTGGTGGGTAGGAGTGTTTGGCCAGTAACCGAAAGGTTGCTGGATCGAATCCCTGAGCTGACAAGGTAAAAATCTGTCTATCTGCCCCTGAGCAAGGCAGTTAACCCACTGTTCCCCGGGCACCGTGGATGTCGATTAAGGCAGCTCTCCGCACCTCTCTGATTCAGAGGGGTTGGGTTAAATGCAGAAGACACATTTCAGTTGAGTGCATTCAGTTGTACAACTGACTAGGTATCCCCCTTTCCTTTCCCCTAAAACCAGGAAGTGGATATTCGACCGGCAGAAGAAAAACTTAATTTAGTCATAGCGGTAAAAAAAATGTGAGGTTAAGGTTAGGTTTAGGAACGAGGGTTAGGTTAAGATTAGGTATAGTTTGACTGAGGTTAATGTTTGGGTTAAGGTTAGGGAAAGGCATGATAATAATAATTTGGGGGTGCTTATATTTGTCTCCTGTGGGTGTTTCTTGTACAAATATGTAATGGAAATGTGTTTCTTGCATACGCCAACTCCTCCTGAGATACCCGCAGGGAGTGGGGTCATGGCTAGGATCACCATTGTTCATTTTTAACTTATAAAAACATGTTTTTCATTCTGTATTCTGTAGCCTATCTATTTTGCATGTTGAATACTGTGAGGGGGAATAGAATAAATAAATATATCAAAAAATACAACCCAATGGTATTAGTATTTTTATTATTAATATAATTATTATTTGTTATTTTCTTGAAATAAATATTTTACCACTGTCCGTAATGTTTGTGTTGTGACACTACTTCTTATTTAACCAATGTCCAAGGTGATGTTTTGATTTAGAGCTTTACAGTTAGTGGGATTCACACTAAAATGTGAAATAGTGCTACCCTACCCTCTGATGGACAGTTATGGTGCATGAAATACTGTAAAATGAAATGAAATGTATTCCATAGCTTAACTAAAAACAACAACTTTAGTGAAAAAATTATCTGGCAACCACAGCATGGTACCAGCAGAAGGGGAAGGCCAGAGACTGGAGGAGGAGGAGATTGCGTCTGCAATGGAGGACAGGCAGCTCTGGAGGACCCACCTTTCATCCCGTCAACCCAAGACGTCCAAATCCAAATACATATGGTGAGGACTGTATATATATATATATTCTTTAGGAAGATTAAGGGATGAGCTTTATTAATCACACTCATGAAAAATAAGTTGTTTGAATGACTCATAATAGACAGATGTAGGACACTGCAACATGTGTCACACTTATCAGAACAGTTTCCTTTTTAAAAGGCAATATGGAGGATGCACTTCACTGTGTAAAAACATCATGCCAATGTCAGGTCAAAAGAGTAAATCCTTCACTACAATGAGTCCACAGAAAAGTGGATGGGAGGAAGGGGTTTCAGAATAGCCTGCACAATCACATTGTATTAGGTTACATGTACTGCCCTGAAAGCAAACAGAACTGAAACCAGGTGTGTATCTGCCATATTTGACCAAAAGCAGACAGTACTGTACTTTTAACCAGGAGAATGAGGAGAGATGATGTAGCCAACAGACAAGTTCATTATTACATATTGCTTATACATGCAATAGGCATGTAATAATAATATTGATGGAGCTGGCCTAGCACGCAAGCATTTCACTGCACCTTTTATACATTCTGTAAACTGTGTATGTGACAAATATAATTTGATATAAGTTAATTTAATTTGATATCCCAATGTATTCAACTTATATTTTAAAGCACATAGTTGAGAATGGCATTCAAGAGATTAATACAGCAATTTAGGAATTCTAAGAATCCATATCTTCTCTTGTCTAGCTCTAACTACTACAGTATATGTCCCCATACATTAATTTTAAGCATCCATCCTCTCTAAAAACGGTTTTCCTCACAACAGCACCTAAGGGGGAAGAATGCACCCTGCTGGCCTCTTTACATCACTACAAGCAGATCAGAACATTTATTTGTTCATAAAGTTGTCTCAATCATATTACACTCTTCCTGAAATATGACTGGCGAAGTTCTTAAAAAATTGCGAGTATTGTAGATTATAATGCAGGTTCAGACAGTTTTTCTTTTTTGGGCCTATAGCCAATACAACATCCAGTTGGTATGAATCATATTTATAGTACGGTTTAGTTTATTGTCATGGTAAACAACATTGGCAGCTAAGCGCTGAATTGCATTGTACAGTTCATTTAAGTAAATAAACAAATAAATACATAAACAAATCAATAATGTGAAGTCGTGAAATATTCATACAAATATATAAAAGTTATGTTCATAACCATAGGAGAACATGGCTACAAAAGAGAATTCAAGACAATTGAGCTAAACATCTTAAAAGGAACGGGTTATGTTCTACCTTCTGGGATAGATGACGAAATACAATGGTACGTAAAAACGGTTGTTTTCGAAAGTGAAAGCGATTTATGGTTTGCATTCACCGATGTCATCACCCCCGGCGACAGAGGCTGTCTCAAGTTCATGGCTAGAAGGGTTCCTAATTGACAAATTATTATATATTTGTTTGCATTTTTGCTAACCATAACCCTTTCCCTAAACTTAACCTAATTCTCCTAACCTGCTACGTTAAAAATGACATTGTATCTAGCTGTTGATAATAAATCAGGTCCACACGAAATCGTTTGAATTACCTTTTTATATTCCAATGTCAATTTGTTTTACAACGAAATGCTTCTACATCTGTATTGCTTGCTGTTTGGGGTTTTAGGCTGGGTTTCTGAATAGCACTTTGTACCATCTGCTGATGTAAAAAGGGCTTCATAAATACATTTGATTGATTGATTGAAATAATGAAATGCCATGTAGGCAACATGTAGTACATTTCGATAACTGCAGTGGAGCAGCTGTATTGAGTCCAACTATTATCATCATGTGTTTCTTTCTGTAACAGAGTAGCCATACAATTAGTTACAAGTTCCATCCCTTAGGAGAGAGAATATAAAAAGTATGCAATTAAATGCTTATACTGTAGGCTATCATGCATACTGAATAAAGGTAAGATTGAACTACAAAAAAATACATAGGCTACTGTATTAAAAATACATTGCGTGAAGAGCACTGTGTACCTGCCATTATAGTATTCTCTGTTTTATGATGTATTAGTTCAAATAATTATTTACATTGCCTATGCTTGGAGCAACATTCTTGTGCACACCTGCACACAGAAGACAAGAACGCAACATTTCGTCAACAGCTATGGAAGGTGAAGGAGTGGAATTTTCAATTCTCTTTCACTTTCCCCACTTGAACTTTCCTTGTTTTACATATTACCTCATTCATGGCTTTTCAATGAGGGGGACTATAAAGGTAGGGCAGGTAGCTCATCGTTTAGAAGTAGTATTCAGGGATTTATCAACTGACTAGACACATGGCAACTCTTAACGTGTTTTTTGTGGTACATCTTCTGTGTATAATTGTTCTTAACCCGGTTGTGTATGCTAAATGCAGTGATCGAAAATATCAAATATATTATCTTTCTCAAACTCGCCAGACCCTCAATGATCTTGCCATGGTAGGTTAATTTCTTGAACCTGTTACAAATTGACCATATAGGCAGAGACGTATATGTAAATATGCAGAGACTAACATAGACTAAATATGGCTCTGAATATAGGCTGTAGCATATATATTGTGATATCACAAGTTATGTATTCTAGTTGCAAATAGATTATTGGAGCTTGATTCATTCATATATTCAGTTGTTTTATTGAGATATGGTGTATTTTGTGTGCGGTATAGGAGAGGAGACCAAGAGGCTGTATCAAAGAGGCGGAAATGATAATGGTCCAACGTCCAACGCTTTCAATAGAGGTGATGCTCAAGAAATCATGAGTGGCTACAATTTTAGTGTTAGTCTAGTTGAATTGCATGGTTCCAATTTGTAAGTCGCTCTGGATAAGAGCGTCTGCTAAATGACGTAAATGTAATGTAAATGTTACACGGGGTGTTATTGTGATTACAGGAAGGGGAAAAGCTATGGACAATGAGACTTGCGTTTCAACTAGCCAGCGAGCTCTTCCAACAAAACCTAACACTTGTGAAATGGAATACCATCAAGCTCAGGGAGCTCCAACACCTTCTTGCTCGACAAAATAGGACTTATTCGGAATGTGTACGTTCTTGGTGATGTTTAATTTGTTAACTGTAGCTTTTTACACAATTATTCTTCTTCTTGGTCTTCTTCTTCTTCTTCTTCTTCTTCTTATTATTATTATTATTCATGTAATTGCATGGATATTCATATTAATGGTGTTTGTTGTTTACTATTTTAGGTCAGAGACATGCGTCTGCGTCAAAACCTTCCAATTGCAGATATGGTTAAGAACTACTTCAAACAGCTGGACGACTTTCTTTCACATGAGGTAAAACATCTCATACGTTGTATTTGTTTCTCTACTGTGTTTCAAAAGCTAAACTATTGAAAGGGGTGGAGTAGACCTAGCCTAATACCTATGGTGTATTATATATTATTTTCACCTAAAACATATTTGTTTCACGTATTTTCTTTCAGCGTTTCAGCTTGTGCTCATGGGAGGTCGTGAGAGCTGAAATTGGGAGCATCCTGAGGGATTTTTACATTAAAACAAAAATGCCAAGAAAACACGTGTGAGAGTAGCATTACTTTGAGTTCAATTCTGCATACAAATTTAATTTAGTTGAATATATTATATATGCCACTGTAAGCTTGTAAGATATGTTCATGTTATTTCTCCGTGTTGCAAATAATTGAAATGTAGGCTATAATATTTAATTAAAAGACAAAACACGATTTATATTGGTTTAAATTGTGCTAGCAATTTTGTAAAATTGTGTGGTGTGATGCAACCAACGACTTTTTCCTTTAAATGTTATCCTAAATAATATTAAAATATGTTATTCCTCCTGACAATTGCATATCAACAATAAACTCCTTTACAATACTCTGAATTCCTGAATTCCAGCCATACTTTCCTACACTTTAAGACATTATCATATCAGTGTAAAACATTGTTGATTCGTATAGTTATTCATAATATCAAGTACACATATACTGGATATCATGCAACATATTTATAATCCCAAATTCTGAATGTTAGTTCAGTGGAGAATTGCAATCGCTCTTAAAACCATGATGTTACACGTCAGTCTCTATAGTGGAAAGATAATAGATGCAGAGGTCCCATCAACTCACATATCTGGATAAATAAATACAATATTTATAAGTCCAATACAAACACACGAATATGGAATACTTTGACAGATAGACTTATATTTTTTACGCACACATGCCTTTAGGCCCAGATTCAAAACCACCCGCAATATAGGCTCCACAAACCACAATTACCCTTTAAGCAAGTGGTTAAAACGTAGTTGGAAACCATAGTTTCTGTGTGCAGATGAAAAGGTGTTGCGTTTGCAAAGACAATATAAAATACTATTGTTTTCGAAGTGAAAGGCCAAACTCAGTTTTGTTCTATATGGTGCTATATATTTAAGCCATAGCATGACTTAAATGGATTCACATGTCTATTTTTTTCATCTATATTTTCCCCCTGGTTGATAAGACAATATTTCATGATAAAATAACTAATAAATCAAGAATGTAACAATTCTTCGAGAGATGCACCTGTTCTTACCGTGCCTTTTCTCCAGACAGAAAACAATACTCTGAGGTATGAAAGTGTACGGTGACTTCCACCTTTCACTTTTGGAACAACGTGCAGAATCTTTGTATAAATTATCGACACAGATTGGAGCATGGCAGAGCTCGGTAATTCGAGAAAGGGATCGATCAGGAAGAACATTTGATCTCTTTATCCTCTGGGGAAACCTTTTTTTTTGTCGGAATTATACAACTTAGGCTATCTTTCGGAAGTGCACCCGGGTTGATTGCGGACACACAGAGAACTACAGTAGACCTATGCTAAAATGGGTTCAATCAGCCTTTGGATGTGCTTGGTCCTGATGATTTGCACCTGGAATAAAACCATCGGATGCACTTGGATGAGGACACTGCCTCGGTCTCCGAGCATGTTCCATGTGTTCAGCAGCAACACCATAACGATGCTTCTGAAAATGGTAGGCTATACAGTAATGTTTATTCACTTGTTCCTGGTCATTGAGTTGTTGTCATCTTTTCAACATTTCATGTTCTGCTACGTTTCATTTAATTCCGTCACTCCTTTATGTACAGTAATAATAATGCAATATCTTGTTTATATGTGATGAAGTCTCTCGAGAACTTCATATCACTTTCCCTGACAAGCAAGACAAACAAGTCGATAATTTCAAGGTAAGAAATATGAAATATGCATAGCCTACACACAAAAAAAGCTTTTGGTTCTATCCAAAACTTTTTTTTCTAAGAGTTTACTGTATATCATTAGGTTATAACGAATATGCAATTTGCTATAATTTTCTTATACAGTGCCTTCGGAAATTATTCAGACCCCTTGACTTTTTCCACATTTTTTAAAGTTACAGCCTTATTCTAAAATTGATTAAATTGTTTTGTTCCCTCATCAATTTACACACAATACCCCATAATAACAAAGCAAAAACAGGATTTAGGAAATTTCTGCTACTGTTATTGCCATGCTTACTAATGTTCCAATTCCCCACACCCCTAAACTTAGAATTGTAAAACTACAGGCAATAAATTGATGATGTATGTGATGGGAAGTATTGCTCTCTGACTCTTTGGTATCACGTGTCACTCTTATGATTCATCCTCATGGCTTGTCCCCAATAGATTAAATGTAATTCATACATAAGGCCTATTAAGGCTATATCTAATAACACCAAGGCCCATATTCATAAAGCGTCTCAGAGAGTATGAGTGCTGATCCAGGATCAGTTTAGCCTTTTAGATTATAATGAATGGACAGAGGTGGTCCTGATCCTAGATCAGCACTCCTACTCTGAGACGCCCAGCAGAATAATTAGGCTACATCTCATAATTTAGCCTATAACATGACATTTCAAGATGAAACCACTTATGACATCTTATCAAGACCCTCATGAAACAGCTGTGTTTGTGCTGGGTTGGAACAAAAGCCTTTACCTCCTCCTGCTGGTCTCCAGGACCGTGCAGACAGTTTTGGTGACCACTTCCCTACAGTATATGACAAAGCCTACCATCAGTAAGCATTTCACTGTAATGTCTGCACCTGTTGTATTCGGCGCATGTGACCAATAAAATTTGATTTGATTTGATTTGATCAGTAACACACTACGCCGCCAGGGACTCAAATCCTGCAGTGCCAGACGTGTCCCCCTGCTTACATGTCCAGGCCCGTCTGAAGTTTGCTAGAGTGCATTTGGATGATCCAGAAGAGGATTGGGAGAATGTCATATGGTCAGATGAAACCAAAATATAACTTTTTGAAAAAAACTCAACTCGTCGTGTTTGGAAGACAAAGAATGCTGAGTTGCATCCAAAGAACACCATACCTACTGTGAAGCATGGGGGTGGAAACATCATGCTTTGGGGCTGTTTTTCTGCAAAGGGACCAGGACGACTGATCAGTGTAAAGGAAAGAATGAATGGGGCCATGTATCGTGAGATTTTGAGTGAAAACCTCCTTCCATCAGCAAGGGCATTGAAGATGAAACGTGGCTGGGTCTTTCAGCATGACAATGATCCCAAACACACCGCCCGGGCAACGAAGGAGTGGCTTCATAAGAAGCATTTCAAGGTCCTGGAGTGGCCTAGCCAGTCTCCAGATCTCAACCCCATAGAAAATCTTTGGAGGGAGTTGAAAGTCCGTGTTGCCCAGCGACAGCCCCAAAACATCACTGCTCTAGAGGAGATCTGCATGGAGGAATGGGCCAAAATACCAGCAACAGTGTGTGAAAACCTTGTGAAGACTTACAGAAAACGTTTGACCTGTGTCATTGCCAACAAAGGGTATATAACAAAGTATTGAGAAACTTTTGTTATTGACCAAATACTTATTTTCCACCATAATTTGCAAATAAATTCATTAAAAATCCTACAATGTGATTTTCTGGATTTTTCTTTCGCATTTTGTCTGTCATAGTTGACGTGTACCTATGATGAAAATTACAGGCCTCTCTCATCTTTTTAAGTGGGAGAACTTGCACAATTGGTGGCTGACTAAATACTTTTTTCCCCCACTGTAATAGTATGAGGTTATTTGTGGTAACATCTAGAATAGTGTGTAACATTGTATGGTATAGTACTCATATGTGCTGTATCTGAATGGTTTGCAGTATGTTTGGTGTATTACACATTTTGTAAAAAATAAATAAATAATAATCAATGAAACTGTTAACTCAATACATGCAATTTTCCCACAAAAGAAACCTTTCTAGAATAGATCACAATATGTTATTTGGGTTGAGTAAAGTATATTTTTTCAATTGAAGATAAGCCAATGAGGTTATCACCACTGACGTTTATAGGCTACATGAATTACATTTTTGAACGAAATGAAATTGTATTGTGATGAGTGTGATTAGAAGGAGTCAGGCGCAGGATGGTAAATCACCGAATACAGAGTTTATTCCGTCGTACACAGTTGCGCTGGATAGAGACAACAAAATACAGGCACAGGGGAAATATCTACCCTGGCAATACAAGGTACGAGTAGCTCCACCGACGCTACACTCAACTCACATAAAACAATCACCCACAAGGACAAGGGGGCAGAGGGAACACTTATACACTGACTAATCAAGGGATAAGAACCAGGTGTGTGTAATTGACAAGACAAGACAAATGGAATGATGATATATGGAGCGGCAGTGGCTAGTAAGCCGGTGACGACGAACGCCGAAGCCTGCCTGAACAAGGAGGGGAGGCAGCCTCGGCGGAAGTCATGACATGTATTTTATTTTCGTATCAAATCGTAAGTTGGCAACCCATCCTTTATGGGATTATTTGACACATGAACAAACATTATAATAATTCACTGTGATAATTCAGTGCTAATTACTCTTCCGGTGTACTCTACCAACAACCATTTTCTGAAGCATCGTTATGGTGATGTAGCTGAACAGTTGTAACATGCTTGGAGACCGGGGAAGTGTCCTCATCAAGTGCATCCGATGGTTTTATGCCAGGTGCAAATCGTCAGGACCATGCACATCCAAAGGCTGATTGAACCCATTTTAGCCTACTGTAGTTACAGTGAGGGAAAAAAGTATTTGATCCCCTTCTGATTTTGTACGTTTGCCCACTGACAAAGAAATTATCAGTCTATAATTTTAATGGTAGGTTTATTTGAACAGTGAGAGACAGAATAACAACAACAAAATCCAGAAAAACGCATGTCAAAAATGCTATAAATTGATTTGCATTTTAATGAGGGAAATAAGTATTTGACCCCTCTGCAAAACATGACTTAGTACTTGGTGGCAAAACCCTTGTTGGCAATCACAGAGGTCAGACGTTTCTTGTAGTTGGCCACCAGGTTTGCACACATCTCAGGAGGGATTTTGTCCCACTCCTCTTTGCAGATCTTCTCCAAGTCATTAATGTTTTGAGGCTGACGTTTGGCAATTTGAACCTTCAGCTCCCTCCACAGATTTTCTATGGGATTAAGGTCTGGAGACTGGCTAGGCCACTCCAGGGCCTTAATGTGCTTCTTCTTGAGCCACTCCTTT